CAACAACAACAAAAAACCAACCAACAAACAAACAAACAAAAAAACAACATAACCTTCCACATTGAGAAGTATTGTTTTTATAATTCAAAATTGTTTTAAATGAAGGCAGAGAAAAGATTACCCTATTTAACAAGACAGAAAGCAACAAGAAAGTGAACTTCTCAAATTCTTTAGAAGTTGTATTTAAATTACTCATTTGGTTTATGTAGACAACCCTCTTAAATAATAAATCAAGGGAACACCAAAATATTTTTAAATTTGGCAGTTCTCAGCTTTTCAGTATAACATTTAAAAATCTAAAACCATCAACATAAAATGGAAGATTAGAATAAACACTGTCTTCTTTTTCTCTTGAAGATTTGGCCTTGTTTGTAACTTCACTCTCAAGATACTATATCCCTAAAAGCTCTCCATTGAGTAGCAGTCAAGTAAAGGGGTTAAGGACCTGAGATTTGGAGTCAGCTCCCTGAGGGGCATATATAATGCTAATTGTTGCCATTTTATGTCCTCCATAGCAGAGATATGACAATAGGATAGTTCACACCCTACTCTATTGGGTGAATTAAATTCACAGTCCATTCTGGAGGGGTGGCGGATGTCAAGTGCTGAAAATATTTCTAAATTCCGTTTTTCCCTCCTCCTTTTATTCCTTCCTGCCCTCCTTCCTTGTCTTCTCCTGGGACACTGAGGGTGGGACCAGGCTCCTCAGCCCGCCATTTTGAGCTAGTGATTTTCAAACTGTTTTGTTTATCAACTATATACATTTATTATTATCTTCAGAACATTCTCCTTCCCATTAACAATCTTCCCTTCCCTCACTGCTGCTTCAACCCAGAAATTTCTGGGTAATTGTTTTATTACTTCTTCACCTCAGGTTCATTGGTAAACTCCAGTCTATGTGGGGTCTCTGGGGTGATGGAAATCTGTGAGTAGCTTCTGTTGCCAATTTAATCTGTGTTCCCATGCTCCTTCACCGGGGTTGCTGATGTGGTGATGAAATGCCCTCTTGAGGGACAGAGTGTCCCCTCAAGTCCTGCCCCCTGTCCCCCTCTGCCTCTTTCTATGCTGTCCCCAACAGTTCTGTGCCCCTTTGGAGACCCCCCCCTGCTCCTCACCAAAGGCCTTCCTCTGAGGGTAGTTCTGTTACTGTAAGACTCCAAACTAGCCTAACCAGCTCTCTGCTTCTATAACCACGCTTGCTTTTAGAAAACCAAGACCCCACACCCCTTCCGCCCTTCCAGTAAATAGCTGTTATAGCTGTTACAAGTTCCCGGAACTAAGTGCAACCAGTTATACAAGACAAGACCAGTGAAATTTCCCCACCCTAAACTCCCTAACCACTGGCTGTGGTTTTAGCCTATAAAAAACCCCCCAAGCTTGAAAGTGGCGCGGCAGCTCCCCTAGCTCAGTGATGCTGTTCGCCCCTGCGCTGCGCTGGAAATAAATCCTCCTGCTCTTTTGCATCAAGCCTCTGGACTCTGAGTCTTTTTGGGCGGTCGTCTCTCTCCCAAACGGGCTGTACATTTCTACGGCCCAACATTACTATCAGTCAGCCCCATGCCACCGCTGGGCGAGTCCAGGAAACACTGGGGAGGGCCAGGAGCTTCTGGTGCAGAAGACAGAAGAGAGAGACAAAGGCCCTCACAGTGAGCTCCTGAAAGCCCATCAGACTGTTCACATTGTGAAAATATCTGCTTGCAGTTTTCTGTACCTGTTTATACTAAAAATGTTTCTCTTTCTTGTCTTAAGAGAACACAAAAAGCCCCATTTGACTTTCTTACATGTGCAACATGTCAGCCTCCAGGAAAGAGAAGAAAACTGACCATGCCCCGGTTATAATGGCACAGAAGCTTGGTCAGTCTACAAACACGCTCCTGAGTTTCTAACACGCTCCCTCCTCAACCTCAGCCTGAGGATGGCAGCTATAGAACGTCAGCGTGGGCTGCTGGGTGTGGGAAAAATGAATTTGTCAGTGTCTTCTCTGACCATGCAGCACCTGCCTGAAAAGTGAAAGACCCAATGCTTTGGGGATTTCTTGCATTCTAAGATTAATCTGGCAATGCTAGCCTTGCAATTCCTCAAGGAAACAATTGGATAGGGCTCAATAGCGGCTAGTCCTTTAGATACAATGTGGCATCCCTGTTTCCTGTAGTTCCCAACATTCCCTATTGAGTGGCACAAGTATATTACTTTTTCACAATTCCTACTAAGCCCTCTGTATGCATTTGGGCTTGCAAGGCATAGAAAAAAAGGGATTTATTAATCCTCTACTGAAATTTCATGTCTCATCAGCCTCTGACTTTCAGAACTAGAGCCTAGCACCCCTGCCCCTTTGGATGTCTGTTTCTAGGAAAAGCATATTAAATTTTGGTATCCAATTCATCCTGTTAATTCTCATATACTTTCTTGGAGTGGAAAGACCAAGAATCCAATAGGTCCCAGATGGGAATATAGCGGGGAGCTCAGCCTCTTAAATAAAGCCATATAGGAAGTACTACGTTTCTTTTTTGCTGAGTTGTCCCAGCCTATTTGATTCTTTTTCTTGTGGTCTTAGATGTATGCCTTGGGCAGTGCCCAGAACTGGCCCCCTAAGTGTCACTGTGCCATCTGCTCTGAGGGCTGCATTTCCCCAGGTCATTTCCACTGAGTAGAGTACACATCTCCACTGCCATGCAGCCTGCTGTCCTTCTTCCTCTTCCCAGTCTCGAGCAATCACTCCTCCTCCTCACTCTTACTCTTAGAGACACTTAGAGACACTTTTGGAGCAGTGAGCTTCATCTCTGAATACACCGCAGCAGCTTCTCCTTTCTTCCCAATTAAAATCTTGGAAGTACAAAAACAAATACATAAATAAACTCGAATGACCTAGCTAGCTACTTGAAATGAGAGAGGAGAAACGACTAGAACATGCACAAATCAATACATTGATAAGACGACTAATTGTCCCAGGACTTGTGATCCCAAAATTGTTCCTTGGTTCCAGTGCACATGGTAGGGTGATGTTGTGGTGTAGGGGGCAGGGAAGGGCTTGCACATTTGGCCAATGCTCTGTCACAGAGATTTTAGTGAACATGAATGTGTTACACTATTTTGGTGCTTCCTGCTTTAGGTAATCATAGAATATGAACTGGCCATGCCCATTGTCATCCTGGAGAATTTTCCCCATTAAACTGGTATTATTCTGGGAGGTGAATTTCATGGCTCAGAGAAATATTCCACATGAAAGATACCATGGGATATTTCACAATTAGAACAAGTTTCAGAAGAGAGTAAGGATATCTAAAGTTGTGGTCCCCAGGCCCCAGGCTGTGGACTGGTACCGGTCCTTGGCCTGTTATGAACCAGGCTGCACAGCAGGAGGTGAATGGTGAGCTAGTGAAGCTTCATCTGTGTTTACAGCCACTCCCCATCACCCCCCCACCCCCCATTCTCCCAATCCTCCATCCAGGGAAAAATTGTCTTTTGTGAAAACTGGTCTCTGGTGCCAAAAATGTTGGGGACCACTGATCTGTAGGATCCTCTTTAGGAAATTATAATTGTTGGAATATGTGTGGGGGAATTTTCCCAACATCAATTGACCAGCTCTTTTAGGGGACAATATTTGGAAACTTTCCCTTCTCAAGGTAAGTAGTAGACCAGGAACCCCATCCACATTCTCTTGGACCTCTCACCTTCCCCCACACCTACATGGGCTTGTGTGCCACACACACACACACACACACACACACACACACACACACACACACACCAAAACACACCACCACCAGTTATGTGAGCATGTGCCTTTGAGTTTACATGTGATCTCTTCGCTGAAGAGAAATGCTTGCACTTAGCATGAGGGAGGTCAAGTGCAAATATAGGTATCTCACATTCCTACATTATACAATTTACAATGTAAGCTGATAACTAGCTTTTAACCATCCTGGAGGTGGGTCTTTTTGGCAGCATTTACTCCTGGGTGGCTATAACTCCCTTTAATTTGTGACTTTATTGAACAATTGTATTCTGAAAGGCTACCACTCTCAGATTAACAGAATCTACCAAAGTGCTGTTGGAACATTCCTAAGTCACCAAGGGTGAAAGACAATAGGCTTGCTGCCAAGTAATTCAGTGGACTCAGAAGAGTTCCCTGTGCCTTTGAGAGGTGCCACATAATCCAAGTGGGCAAGGACTTTGTGTGCTCACCTCTGTTGTCCCAATATTACCATGAGCTCTGGTAGATGGCAGGCACTCAACAAATTTTTCTCCCAAATGAGTTAGCATTGGAGAAGCCTACTCTCCCACTTTTAATGATAAGGTAAAAAGAAGTTTCAAGGATGTGTGGGTGAGTCCAGCATGGGTAGAAATCCAGGCTTTTCCATTCTCAATAGTAAAGTACTTATACTTCCAGAGCTTGAGTTTCTTCTACTTTGAGGAATACAGTAAAAGTTAAAGGAAGATCATTTGTGAAGTGATCAGCACAATGTCTTCAGCAGATATATGTCGAGTCTTAAATAAACATCTAATGTTTATCATATGTTTTCATGACAAACCAGATTCTTAATTATCATTAATATAAAATATCTAAATGAAGAGAACATTAACTAATTTCTGACATTTTGGATATGGTAATAGCATTTGTGAGATGTATGCTGAATCTTCTAGAATGATGGTAATTAAAAACAACAGTAGAATCTACTATTTATAGACCACTTACCATATACCTTGTACTGTGTTAAGGCCTTCTTACATGCTATTTAATTTCATTTTTACAATTACCAAATGAGAAAGGTATAATCATGTCTTTGCTTTATCGATAAGAAAACTGAGAGCCAGGTGGGTTTAGCAGCTACACAATCATAGCCTTAATAAGTGGCAAATCAGAGTTCAAACTCAACTTTGCCTGATAGTAGGTCCCAAGTTCCCAAGAATTTCTTTGGTTTTTACAAAAGCCATCATTCTGCAATATAACTCATACTAATAGTTCAAAAGTTAAATATTCTGAACACAATGAAACCACACACACTACTTTTTATTTTTATTTATATTTCTTAGTTCAAGAATTACACACTAGTCAACATTATTATGTATTTACATGCTGAAACTGGCTGCAATAAGTTTAAATTCAAGAAAATAATTCTTATGTGCTATTCATTTATAATCCTCATTTTTTTTACTGTCTCATGTATCCCAGAGATTTTAGTAGTCCTGTTTTTAGAAAGACATGAAAATAGATGCAATGATATCCACTTGTGTTTTGCATTTTCTAGCCATTGGAAAATGTGCATTATGTGCATATTAAGAAAGGCTACAAGGTAATTAGTAAGGCTGATAATCACTACATTGTGAAGAAACTAGAATATCACATTTTATAAAAGGACGATTTAGAACTGTGCAGGGACAATATTCATAACAGAAATATTTAAACACCCATGCAAAGAAAAGTTAAAAATGTTATGGAATTTAAATTATAGGCAACTTTGTTTGAATTAATTACGTTTAAAATGATCATGGTTGAAGGCAAATCGTTGAACCAAAAAGAAAAAAAAAAAGATACAAGCTAATGAATTGTCCACTTGCTTCAAATAGTGCAAGGACACACACATGGGCATCAGATTAGAGGACATGTGACAGAGAAGTGACATTTGACTTTGGAACTCAAAGAACATAAAGTTTTATTTTTCATCATTTTGGATTATATTTATATTTATCACAAAAGAAACACTTCTCAAAGCAAATTAAAATTTGATATAAGAAGTTTGCATGTATCTACAGAAATGTTCGACTTCAATTTCTGAAAAAAATAAAACTCCTAACAGCTCTCATAAGAGTGCTGCTTTTTAAAAATGATTTCTTTAGGGCAGTATCTTAATTTGTATTTTTTTCACTCTCTACTACTTTTCCCCATCTCCCTAGTGCATTTGGAAAATGTTTTGTAAACCTTTGGTGTGAAGCAATGTCCTTTCCCCCCCTCCACTTTCCCTCTTTTTTCCTTTTTTCTTTCCTTTTTTGTTTTTTTAATAATTCTGGACTCTTTGGTTAAAAGGAACAATACTATCTAAAGACAAAATGCTATTATTAAAAAAAGCTTGTAGAATGTATTGTGTGTAACATGTTTCTGGAGCTGGTATGAATAAACATTTTTATTTCCTGTAGTGCCATCTATACAAACTCTCACTCTTTGAGAATCGAGAGTTAAGTTGCAAACTTTGGTTTCTTGAACTCTGGCATATAAAAAAAAACCCTTTATTTCATTTTTGCTTTTCCCAATTGCCATTTCTAAGGCTGTCTCTTGGTTGTTACATTGACTACACAAACACTACAGTGTTTCCCATAGAGGGGGAGCCAGTGAGAGTGAGTGAGCAGGTGAGGCAAAGATGATTGTGTGTGTGTGTGTGTGTGTGTGTGTGTATGACTGTGTGTGACTGTGTGTGTGTGATAGCAAATTGAAACCCTTCTGTCTGGGATTCCCAAACCATTTATGCAAAAGGGTGTTTAAATTACTCTGCTGGGGCACTGCAGTAACCATACTTAGTAAAAAATAAATAAAAATTAAGAAAAAAAAAACAAACTAAACAATTATTTGTATCTACTGACTATTCATTTACACCATGTTTAATTATTTACATATTATAACACAACAACTTAAGCCATAAACAGAATTTTCACATTGCCTTACCATAAAATACAAATTAGAAGTTAAAAATATTTAAGAAATCTGTTTTAATATTTACACACGCTCGGTGAAAGTTATGGTTGCTCACATTACATATACTCTGTACACTTAGCAAAATGGTATGATTGCTACAGTTGTAAGTATTTTGCCCTAACCAACGTGATGGGGGTTTCTTTTTTTTTTTTTTCCTCCTCCTAGAAGGAATTTTTATCATTTTCCATTTTTCTTAAGACATTTTTGTTTTTATATCACCAATGGAGAATGTTATTTGTTTCCTTGAAAAAGAGAGCAATTAGACAAGCAATGTGACAACTACTTCATTTGTGATGTTCTGAGGTACAGTACTATGGTGGGGTCAAACTGTGCAATGGTTCATAAGAACTGTAGGCATTGATCTGCTGATAGAGAAATGCTCAGTACCCTGTATTATTTATTTCAATGTTGATTGTTGGCTGCCAAATTAATAATACTCATACACTGGTTTAATGAAGGAAATAAAACATATTAGCTTATTCCTTTTGTTTTCCAACATATGAATGCATATATATGTATGTATGTTTACATGAATCTGTATATACACATATATACATCTAGATATGTTGTAAGACATGTTTTTTGTTGATGTTGTTTTGCTGTTTTTGTTGCTGCGTGTGAATTTCATCATAAAACTGGAACACAATTACCTACAGAAAATGGAAGTTGTCTTTGTTGCCAATTTAATGCAGGTCTTGCTTAAAATGAATGTGATTCTTTTCCCCATTATGCATTCTACCACTTTCTCTATGTGTTGTGCTTTTGTAAGCTGACAAATTTTTGTGTGTGTTCCTAATGCTAGAATGTAAAGTCTTTTGGTTCATAAACCACTTTTATTGTTATTATTATTATTATTTATTATTTTACTTAGCACTGCTTTTGAAGAAATGAGAAGAGAAAAGGTCTAGATGGCACTGCTTGAGTCTTTTCCCCTGTTATTAAATTTGAAGTAGAAAGAATTGTAACATTCCTTATGTTGCATGAGTTTTCAATTCTGAAGTGCATTTCATACCTACTAGCAGTCATGTACAATATATATATATACAGATTGAGATCAAAGAATTCATGTAGACTGTGTATTTTTGAGTCAGAATTTGTCTACGAATTTCACAAAGATGGAAAAACACCTTAATTGCTGGCTATCTGACTGTTTTGTAATCGAAAGAAAACTATACATATGTATAAACTGATAGTAATACCACATCAGAATTGCTGAAACACACCATTGTGGTCCTTCAGTTTAGCCACTGGATATCAAGCTAACGGGTCTCCCAAGACTTATTATTAGTCTAGCACCCTTCCCTCTGTCTGATGACCGCCTTCCAATTCAACTAGAGGAAACATATAGTTTAAGAACAAATTCTACATCTACTGTTATTTCTTGACAGGATGAGTCAGTTGTTTCTACTTGTGTGGTTACTGAGTGCCAATGTGTGGTTTTCACTCTAGGGCATGGGTTCCAAGGTCCCCTCTTTCCTCCTTTGCCTAGTTTCTTGTATCACTGAGAGCAGACATGAATTCCTGGTCATATGCTTCTGAGGCTCACGCTGTGAAGATCCTTCTCTCCGCTTTGATCTAGATTGCTCTGTTGACTTCCCCAGACATCCAAAATTCTGCTGTAACTATAAATGACAATGTCAAGGATTTTTTTTTTTTTATGGCTTTTAGAGTAATTGCACATAAGAGCCCACTTCCAGACTTGGGCTCTGAGTTGTCTCTAGAAAAGCCTTTCCAGAATGGCATTTTAAAGTTGTGCCCCTGAGTTATTGGTATCCTCTTTCCTGATATTTTCCACTCAAACTTTATCCCCTGGTGACAAGGAGCAGGCACTTTATTAGTGTGATGCCCCAAAACGACTGCCTAGGAGTAAGTGTGTCCCTGGAGACACATGAGGAGTCTCTACTCCGAGCTTATTGGAAGAACCTGTGTCAGATTCTGCTCAAAGATTATACTCAGAGGTGTTCAAGTATGTAATCAAAATATAAGGGCCAGAGTTCCCTAGATGGTGGGGAAAAAAATACCACCCCATACTGGGCCAAATTCAGAAAGCTGAATGATGAACTTTTGTTGTTGCTGTTGTTCTCTGACAGCTGAGACGCAGGGCAACAGTGTTCTATCACATTCCAAGCTGCTGAATCACAAATACACATTTTTATCCATAGACAGATACTGGCTGCTATGCACAATTAGGGATGTTATTCTAAAAAGAAGAGGGTTTTCTGTTTTGTTTTGTTTTCAAAATAGACCATAGCAAAGTTATTGTCCAAGAAAAAGTTCAATCAAATTAAGCTTTGAGGAAAATTTAGCAATTCATTATTTTCTATAAGAAAAGCAAAATATGCACCTCACATTGATTGAAATAGAATACATTAGCTTATTCTCTTTCCTGTCCAGCAGATGAAAGCGTATGTCCAATTAGTATAGAAAGAAGCACAATGACGTAATTTAAAAATAGAATTAAAATAACACATTGTGCCTGCCTGATTATCAGTTATATATTTTTCTGCAATATCAACTCAGGCTCATAACGTTCATCATGTTAATGTGACTTTGTTGTTATCTTATTTTCCACTGTTTTTCATATTTTCCCTGATTAGGCAGATTGCAACATATACAACAAAAGCACCCTTAAAGAATCACACCCAATAAATCCCAAAATTACCTCTTCTTGTGCCCATACTTTCTGAAGTATTTTTTGCCTTGAAAAATACAACAGTGAATTTCATTGCACATAAGAAAATACTGTTCACTCAATCTCTCCAAAACCTTACTTTGTCAGTCTCCTAAGAATATAATCAGAATTTTGGAAGGAAGACAAGCTCGAGTGGACCATTAATTCCTTAAAGTGATGAACCCATCTTTCTTTTGAAATACCCTGTTAAATTCAGAAGTAAACTTATAAGGATGTGCCGCAGAAGCAGTTGACGTCTGAGATAAACAACCTGCTTGTTTAACTTTATGTTTTGTATTTGTATATTCGAATGACTACCAATGTAATCTGTACATCTAAGATGCTTCTAATTTCCCCAACTTTTCTATTTCATGGTTATCTTTTGATTAGATAAATGATAAAAACCTCTTTAGGTATACTGTCAAAAGCTTGTGAGGTTGAAAAAAAATTCCTCTTGCTCTACCCTTTGCCACGGGACATAGGATGTAGAGACCAGATGCTGTGTGGGCTGATAAGGGTTATGCTTGCTTGCCTGCTTGCTTTAATTTTGTTCCAACAGGCATTTCTGGATTTTCTACTCTGCTCTGTGTTGTTAACTCTTATTTTAATCACTTAGGAAATAGCTTTTTAGCGAAAATTTCTTTGGCCACCATGAATGATAATGTTCAGAAGTCTTCTAGTCTCTAAATGCTAAAATGAAAGACAGCGTAGGTGATTCCCTGTGCTAAAAAGCAAAGAGACTGGGCAAATTGGTTTCCTGAGTCTCTGTCTTGACTCTCCCTTATCCTGCTCCAACTAAATGAGAATCTTCTAGAATCCAGTGGGAATCATCTTCCCATGACACCATTATCACCTTCATAAGACAGGCATAGACCATCTTCAAGTAACGTGCTTGCATGGCACTGTAGATGATGTTCATAAGCACAGTGCCATCTCAGCAGCATGCCAATCGTAGAAATGAAGATGGATATCTAGATATGACCACTTCTCAGGGAAATGACTGACAATGCTATTGAGCCTCCCAAGAATATCTTCTAAGTAATTCCTCTCTGAGTAGGCTGCAAGCTAAACAGGTAAAGTAGAACACTCAGACTGAGTCTTGCCAGCATGTGTACAAATCACTTGCACCTTCTCTGGAAAACCACAAGGACCTTAGTGTATTCATTACTTAGCAGAAGCAACCCAAATGGTATGAAATGGACCACAGGATAGGCCAGCAACTAAGGTATTTTAGCATCACTTTTGTCCTGAATTGATGTGTTTTCCAAGTCCTACATCAGGCTGTACAACTGGTTTGAGGAGGGATCTAGTCTTTGCTTCCCAGGGGAGGCTATGTTTTAGTTCACATAATAAAGCCAATAGACGATGTTGAAGAAGGAAAAAACCACTGGGAAGAATATGCGGGACCACCGATCTATGGCATTCACATCAGTCAAGTCGGGGATGGTGATTTTCAGTTGGGAAGCACGTCTCCTCAGGCGACTTTTCTTTTGTGCCACGTGTCGTTCCAGGGCATTCCTGCCAAAACTGTGCCTGGGCAATCCGGCTTTCCGGTACTGAATGCTGGAGGCATCGTAAGCCAGCATTGTGCTCCTGGGGTCTCCAAGTCCCATCACAGCCTCAGACGTGGCCATTTCATTTTTTATCTCGAGAGTGCTCAGTAAGATGTTCTCATGGGGGTCCATCTGCAAAGGAGAAGGATCAAAACAGTCAAAACAATGAGGCTTTATTTGAGCTATGCAACACACTACGATAGGCACTGAGGGTAGTATTTATACCAGTGGTAAAGAGAAAGTGGCTTTCTGATTGCATCACCTGAGTCTGAAATGTGGCTCTGCTGCTGTAAGCTATTTGAGGTTGAGTTTCCCTTTCTATGAAATGATATAAGACTCCAACCCTAAAGGATTGCTCTAATGATGCAATTATATAATAGACTGTTGCTAGTATAGTTTTCGTTATTTATACTTAGGGCAGGCAGGAAATTGAAGGCATAACACTCTTTTAAAAAAAGTATAGTCTTGATATGCACACATAAAAAAATTAAACTGTACTAAGTATGGCATAGTGTTAGGAATTAATCACTGAATTGTGTTTATCATGGTAGCCTAGTTATAGATGAATTAATAACAAAACTAGAACTAAAAATAGTGGGTAACTATCAAGTACTTGCTATATATGCCAGGCACTTTTTTGTACAATTTCATTTAATTGATGATTCCTAACACCCATAGTTATGATATGTCACCTTAAATTTGCAATGTCAATATAAACAGGGTTAAGGAATAGTTTTGAAGAATATAAATCAGAGGGTACATATGACTTTCCAAAACACAAAAGAATTCTATAATATGAAGGAAGACGAGTCTAACAGCTGGATAGACTTTGGGTGATGGAGGTGTGAGTGGAGGATGGACTGAAAGGAGGGAAGGGAAGGGGCAAGGTTAGAGCAGAAAAGAGAATGTCTGGAGTTCACTGTGCTCACTTGAAGTCTGAGTCTCAAGACTACAATTAAGTGGCTGTACGGATAGTCAAATCATCTCTCTTGGATGATTTCTGCTTGCAAATCTAAAATTAAAAGATGAACACTGACATCATGATTCCCAAATATTACATTATTATATAATGTCTTTCTTGCATTAAGAAGGGGAGACTTGTGTGCTTTATTTTTAAGAGGCCTCAATTGCTACAGAGAGCAAAACCTAGCCACAACAAGTTATTCTTAATAACAAAGTACATTTATTTTGGTGGAGAATCAGGATATACTAATTTCCAGTAACATTTCTGAAATTATAAGAAACCAATGGTCAATGACAGGCACTGATAATACATGGAATTAAGATACATAACCACATGCTTAATTGGAAGATACAATGCTCTGAGCTTCATGAATTATGCAAAAGGCAAAAAAAATGTTGCTAAGGTTGTATATTAACAATTAGCTTTCAAATGCGGTTTAATGGCCCTGTATTACAAATTCAAATCTATAACCTTTTGAGCAATAGAAGCTATAAAATACACCAGGACATAATAATTGGCCAATTAATCTCTGCCCACTGATCACACTTTCTGTATGTTTGGTTTTGTACCATTTTGCTTAGTGGAAATACTAACCAAATATATTAATAAAATTAATTTCAAAAGTTTAAGATTTGGAAAGAAAACTAAATAAATGGGGAAATAAATCTGTCAAGATAGGGCCAGGAAATGCCTTTACTGATGGCTTTCCTCATCCTAGGGAAAGAAAGGAATGTTCAAAGGCTCCTGCTATATGCCAGCCCTTTGCTGCAACTGTTTCACTGAATGCTCACAACCACCCTGCAAAAAGGCAGGAGGTTACAGTTGGAGGCATTCATCAAGTTTCCCAAAGTCACACAGTTACTATGTGGTAGAGCTGGAATTCGAACCTTGAGTCCATTGGGGGAGAGTGGGGCCTTTCTAACACTCAAGGAAAGTGAAGCCAATGGAAATGGGAAACCTATTGTTCCCGTCATTTCACTAGCATGCTTATTTTCTATTCTTCTCTGAGTTCACTCTTCCTTTCACCACCCAGAAAACAGACTTTTAGGGAAATTTTGGAGCCACTATGCATGATATTGTTAAGGAGTTTCCCCTTCTCTAACTACCAGAATATTTCTTTTTCTGATGAGAAATTGCAAGAACAATTATGAGCTGACATCAGGACTGACTGACTTAAAAATGTAAAACAACAGTAACAACCATGCTAAAAACTATCGGCAGCAATTATTATGAAGGGAAACTTGTTCTAAGTTTAAAACAAATTATCCTTAGATAATTCATTTAATCTTAGTGGGTTTCTATTTTGTTACTGAAAATTCAAGAGTTGGATTAGATAGTTCCTGAAGCCTTATCATTTACTTATTTTTTCATTCATATATTTTTAAAACATTGATTGGACCCCCACTGTGTGTCTGGCACTGTGACCACTATTACACAGAGTCATGAGGAAGACAGAATTGCTGCTGGGTCCTCGTGATAGTCACAGTCTCCAGAAAACAAATATTGAGGTAGGAGACAAAATATTGTAGTTATGACTCTTCCACCTGTTATTTTTGACATGAAAAAATTGCTTAATTCCTCTGAATCTAGGTTTCTTCAACTGTATTGGGGTCAAAGAATAGGATTTGAGAAGATTAACTGAAATAAAACATGAAAGAACTGGGGAGACTAAAGCACAATGCAAAGTTGTTATGACACGCTATAAACGAAGTAGGATATTTATGTACTGCAGTGACATGGCAAAAAACAATAAATAATTATGCCTAAAAGAAAAATAAGTATGTTGCCCTTGCAGTGTATAGATATGGGTAATGAGCTTTCTGTAGGTGAAACCAATCACCTCCACCCTACTTAGAGACCCTGGCTCTAGTATAGTCTTGATAGAAACACATAAAAAAGTGGGAGGGCAGTGGTGGGTGAGGTATATTGGACACCTATATCAACTTACGAAGTGCTGCACTCCTCGATAATCTCTCATGTCCTTAGAATCCTTCAACCTTAAAATATGACTGCTTGAATAGACTTAATTAAGGCTTAATAGTCCAGGAATAAATTAACCTGAACAAGAAAAATAGCATTGTTTTCCAGAAAATTCCTATCCATAACCATGGAGCTGTGAAGCGGTGAGGGATAAAGTATATAACCATCTTTATTTATACCTTAATTTCACTTGATTAACAGATACATGGAGGTTATAGTTCATTAGGTTGCACATCAGGGTGAGGCTGTAAGATACTGCTCCAATCACCCCATCATGTCCTTCTTTGAAGGATCAGTTTGCTCCACCACTTTTCCATAGTTTCTATGAAGCCTTCCATATATGCCAACCTTCTTCACTCTCCTGCTCAAAAATTAGCTTAATCCCTCCCGTGATGCCACAGCACAGTGTCCATTTGCCCCATTCTTGGGATCACCAAGACTTGAGCTTTCCTTTGGGAGTGTGGAATGGTGGCTTCATCAACACCTGGAACTGTGTCTGTTCTCTGTAGCAGGGAACACATTGCGTAGTGTTTCCACGTTCTGATTCTGGACTCAATCAGGTTTTGATTCTGGGCTGAGCCACTCACCAGCTTTGAGACCTTGGGCAAATCGTTCAGCCTCTCTGAACTCAAGTTTTCCTATACTTAAAGTGGGAAAAATGCCAATACCAGTTTCCTGGGATTGTTTGAGAGGATTAAATAACACAGCACATGCAAAGCACTTAGCCCTGTTTGGTACATAGTAAGCACTCAAAAAATCATACCTGATCTTGTTACAAAAATGCAACATTCAATAAATTAATAAATTTGATTTTCTAGTGTAATTTATTTATATATTCTTTAAAATTTTTACTTTTTAGAGATGGGCATCCCACCATGTTGCCCAGGCTAGAGGCCAGTGGCTATTCATAGGTGCAATCATAGCTCAGTGTAGCCTCAAACTCCTGGGCTCAAGTGATCCTCCTGCCTCAGTCTTCCAAGTAGCTGGGACTACAGTTATGTGCCACCATACCAGGCTTTGTCATTATTAAAAATTCCATGGCCTGGTTAACAAACCAGAACTTTCAAATGCATCAGATATTTTAATTTTGCTTTGATTAGTGGCTTCCGTAAAGTGCTGAGAACAATGCTTAGTACATAATAAATACTATACATTTTTGTTATGGTACTTAAGTAAATGTATTAAATATAATAAGTTTAGACTGAGTTATTTCCAAGTGCTCAAGCGAGATAAATAGAAGCTGCCTTTCATTTCATAAGGTGGAGAAGGAGCACTGGTTTCACAGACCTTACTACGCATCCCAGGTTCACAGACAGCCCACCAACAACCTCCTAACCACAGAGAGAAACAGAGCCCAAAGGCCAGGACCAAACAAAGAGACATATCCAGTGCTGATGTGGCAGAACAGGGAGCACCTGGCTTGCCTTTGCTGATGACACTTTGATATTCTAGTATAATGCTGGCCACAGCAATTATAATCATTCACTTTCTATCTGTGTTCTCCACCAGACTACACTTCTCGATGAGGACAGACACAAGGTCTATCTCATCCATCATTGTATCCTTAAGCATTTGGCATGGGACCTGGCGCATAGTGGGTGCTTAACAAATAAATTCTGATTTATGAAATTAATTTTGCTACCCTTAGAAACTCACTGCACCTCTTCATGAGTCATTGATAAGATGGATTTAGTTTTGCACCACCAGTCTAAAGACTGGAACTTCATGGGGCCATGTCTTGAATTCCTTCCCTGCTCTAAGGCTTCTGCCTCTGTTTATACAGGTCTATTTCTAGAGCAGCATACTCCAGCCCCTGAAACCTGGAAACTACACTTCTCACACTGCCATTTCCATAACAGATGTCTCATTATTACACCAGAGAAGGAAACTTCTTGAGTAGTAACTAGAAGCCAGGACTGAGCATTTTCCATAGTGACCTTTCAGTTATCACAGTAGCACTCCCTGATCTCATGTTTGGAAAATAAAGCACAAAGAGTTTAAGAAAACACTGACACAAGTTCACATAGTGAATAGGTGGCAGAGAAGGAATCAGAATCAGATTTCTTTTCATGTTGCCATGTTGAGGCACAGTGGCTGCTCAGACAAGCTCTGCAGCAGTCACAAAAGAAGGCTCTCTCAGCACATGGGTGGGGTAGTCATCCATCAGAAGGCCTGCAAAATTTTTTTT